TCAATTCTATTACTCTGTTCATTTAAAGTGATGTCTAATTCTGTGACCTGATTATTCAGCTCCTTAATTTCTATTTAGCGTTTTTGTTTTAAGATTTCTAGTTTTTCCATTTTTCTTGCAAACTCTTTCTCCATCCACTGAAAATACCTGTGCATCATTCTTCTGATTTATTTTTCTGGTAGTTCCAGAGCCTTTTATTCATTAAAAAAAAGTCTTTTGGATCTGTGTGTTGCTCACTGGCTTGTGCCTATTTTTGACGTGTTTTTTTTTTTTTTTTCATTTGGAGCAAGAATGACTGCTGTCTCTGCAGCACTGTGATGAAGTTATTAAGGTTGAGGAGGCAGCTGGGTCATGTGGAGGGAGTTGACTCTGTCAGGTGTTGCCAGAGAGGAATAGTAGAAACCCCAAAACCAAAGGAGGAAGAAGGAAGACCAAAAAAGGAAAGGTGAAAAGAGGGGGTGGGGTGGGAAAAGAAATTCTAAAAGAAAAAAGAAGGGAATGACAGTTTCAGAAATGGGGTGCGGGGCAGGTCTTCCAAACGAGAGACAAAAGGTGCGGGGAGGAGAAATGGCCGTGTTCAGGTGTTTTCTTCCCTTGGCCCCTGAGCACAGTCACAGGGGTCCTTGTCTCAGTATGGGGCACCCAAGGCTGGGGCACCAGGTTGGCTGGGCCGATGGTGCAAGGTGAGTAGTTGGGAGTCAGGGGGATAGTGTTGGATGCCTCGAATGGATCTGCCTGTTGCTCCCCTTTCTCTGTTTACTCCTGTAGCTTCTGGGAAGTGGAGGTTTTGATTTACTTTGCTTTCAAGTTCTCTGAAATCACAGCTCACCTGGTCTTTCTTTCATGCCAGTGCTCTCCTGGTGGTTGTAGAAGAAACTACCTATTTGTGTGTTTAGTTGGCCACCTTGCCCCAGAAGTCTGCTCATGAGCTTTTAAGATCCCAGCCACTGTTTACTGAAGTAGGATTTAAAACATTGTCTTTTTAACTATGACACCCCAATCAACCTCAATCAACCCAGGACTGAGGGTACTGATCCCAGAGGCCCAGCAACACAGTCTCTCAAAGTGTCTGGTGCCTGCATATACTCAAGTATAAGCAGACCCAAATATATGCGGAGGCACCTAATTTTACCACAAAAACTGCATTAAATGTGCTGAACAACTCAGTTTACACTCGAGTATATACAGTATGTCAGAAGTTTTCATAACCTTGACCTCTGTATGCTTTAACACATTCATAAGTATATTTGCAGCTCAAGAATATGTAAGTATCCTTTGGCAAACCTACATATAGTTGTGGGTATATTTCCATTATCCCTCACATACTCACTCAGCCTGAGTGTCTCTCCCTGCATGTACTTATAGATCACCACCATTGCAGGATTGTGTAGAAAGCAACACTTGTCTTTGTTGCCTTTAACTTTTTTTGTTGTTGTTTTTTAATCACTTTATTAGGGGCTCATACAACTCTTAGCACAATCCATCCATCCATCCACTGTGTCAAGCACATTTGTACATTTGTTGCCATCATCATTTAAAAAATATTTTCTTTCTACTTGAGCCCTTGGTATCAGCTCCTCATTTTTCCCCTCCCTCCCCACCCTCCATCCCTCACCCTTGATAATTTATAAATTATTATTATTTTGTCTTGTCTTACACTGAATGATGTCTCCCTTCACCCACTTTTCTGTTTTCTGTCCCCCCCCGGGAGGGGATTATATGTAGATCCTTGTGATCAGTTCCCCCTTTCTACCCCTATCTTTCCCTTGCCTTCCTTGTATTGCTACTCTGATTAATGGTCCTGAGAGGTTTATCTGTCCTGGATTCCCTGTGTTTGCAGCTCTTATCTCTACCAGTGTTCATTCTCTGGTCCAGCCAGATTTGTAAGGTAGAAATGGAATCATGATAGTAGGGGTGGGGGTGGGGAGCATTAAAGAACTCAAGGAACGTTGTATGTTTCATCGTTGCTATGCTGCACCCTGACTTGCTCGTGTCCTCCTCGCAACCATTCAGTAAGGGGATGTCCAGTTGCCTATAGATGGCCTTTGGGTCTCCACTCCACACTCCCCCTCATTCAAAATATGATTTTTTGTTCTTTGATGCCTGATACCTGATCCTATCGATACTTCGTGATCACACATGCTGGTGTGCTTCTTCCATGTGGGCTTTATTGCTTCTCAGTTAGATGGCTGCTTGTTTATCTTCAAGCCTTTAAGACCTCAGACACTATATCTTTTGATAGCTGGGCACCACCAGCTTTCTTCACCACATTTGCTATGCACCGACTTTGTCTTCAGTGATTGTGTCGGGAAGGTAAGCATCATGGAATGCCAGGTTAATAGAACAAAGTGTTCTTGTATTGAGGGAGTACTTGAGCAGAGGCCCAATGTCCATCTGCTACCTTAATACCAAACCTATAAATATATGCATATAGATCTATTTCCCCATTGTCATATATAAATATATTTACATATGTACATGCCTGTGTTTAGACATGTATAAGTACCCTTTGCCTACTAGTTCTTTCCTCTATTTCCTTTTACTGTCCTCTGGTCCCACTATCGTGCTCAGCCTTCATTTGGGTTTCAGTAATTCCTATCAGTTATATTGCCCTTGATCAAGCCCTACCAGGCCTCCAACACCCTTCTCACCATCAATTTTAGATCACTTGTTGTTCCCTTGTCTCTGCGTTTGTTAATACCCACTTCCTTTCCCCTGCCTCTCTCTCACCTATGTCCCCCGCCCAACCATCAGTCCTGTTGTTTTTTCCTCCAGATTGTATATCTCACCTATCTTATCTAGATAGACCTGCAGAGATAATAATATGCACACAAAAAAACAGACAAAGCAACAAAAGAAAAGAAAACAAAATAACAACAACAAGAAAAAAAGAAAAGAAAAGCCTGTAAATAGTTCAAGGTCTTTTTGTTGACTCTTAGGAGTGTTTTCTGATGAAGTCTGATGGCATCAAGTCTGATGCCACTCTCTGGCCCCAAAGTATATTTTTGGTATTCCCTGGGGACTTCGTTACTCTGTTCCCCTTGCTGCTCTGTTGCATGCCCTTAGTGTTTCGCCTTGGTGTGGTAGGGTCAGATTGGGCACAATTCCCGCCTTGTGTCTCCAGTGTTGTCCCCTGAAGCACTGTGGGTCAGTGAGGGACATCGTGTCTTGTAGTAGGGCTGGCTGCTCTGAGCACGAGTATTGTCCTTGGGGCTTGGTGGGCCAGGATGTGCTCTACTCTCTCTTCCTCCCCCTTCATTTGCTCCTGTGTGCTCTGCTCAGACATGTCCCTCTCCCTGAGCTGCAGCTTCAGTGCTGTCCTTTGAAGTGAATTCTGGGGGTAGCGGGGGGCTGTCCAGGTAGTTGGGATTGGGGAGCCCCTTGCCTTTGTAACTCCTGCACTACTCCTAGTGTCTTCCCATGTCTCCCTCCTTGTTTGTTGACCTCCAACTTCCTGCTCTCCCAAGTTAATATATATTTATCTTCTAGCCAATAACTTACTGTCCCTTTACCTCCTTTTCTTGGCTATCATCAAATAATCTTTCTTTTAGTATGGAAACCTTTTCTCACCTTTTCCAACAGTGGTCTCATAAGTATTTATGATTTATAAGATTGACCTATTTCACTCAGCATGATGTCCTGCAGGTTCAGGAATGTTATGAGGTATTTCAAAGATTCACCATTATTCTTTATCATTTGTGTAGCATTCTGTTGTGTCTATGTTTCCTTTGGTTATTATCCATTCTTCTATTGATGGACATGTAAGTTATTTTAATCTTTTCACCATTTTGAATAGTGCTGCGGCGAACATAGTGTGCATATGTCTATCTGTGTTGCAGCTCTTATCTGGGTGTGCTACATACCATTGCTGGGTCCCATGATATTTCTGTTTCCAACTGAAAAGATTTTGGTTTTTTTTCTCTAATAAAATTTTTTGCTGATCTTTCTCTTTTGAAATCTTGTTTTGCTATGCTCTGCAAGAGTATGTCTAACTATGTAAAGGTATGAGGATTTCAATGGTTAGAATTCTTCTGACTCCTAGAGAAAACAAACTTACAGGGAGGATGATTCTATCCCATCCTCTGAACTGGGATGTGGCACAGACTGGGGTCTGATTTCTTTGGGTGTTCCCCAGGTGGACTTTTCCAGCCAGGTTTCTCAGACTGCACAGTGATCAGAGATCAGTGACTAAAATCTCCCCAATATATTTATTAAACAAAGTAATCATATCTTCCCAACATTCTAGCAATTAAGAACAATAGCACCCAGAATACTAAGTAATCATATCTGAGACAGTAAAAAAAATATCACCTATTCCAACAGCAGACTGAGCTCCAGTCACATGACTGAAGGCTAGACCATGAGTCGACAAGACATTCATTTCTTTGTTTTAGCACTAATTTTAGTGATAAGTAAAATGACACAGTGTTATAGGTAAATCAATCGTATGGTCACGAGCTTCCCTTTACTCAAAGGCTCAATCCAGTTCAAGTGGAAGGGTCGAATTTAAAAGTTCTATCCTCTAAGAGAGCCCTACTAACCTAAAAGGCAGCGTGGGTACACATTGCGCTGCTCATTGCAAGACCAGCAGTTCCAAACCACCAGCTGCTGTGCAGGAGAAAGAAGAGGCTTTCTGCGATGTGAAGAGCCACAGTCTCAGAATCCCACAGGGGCAGTTCGACCCTGCCCAACAGGGTCCCTATGAGTCAGAATTGACTCGATGGCAGCGAGTGGGACTTGAAATCTCCCCACCCTACAAGCAGGGCAATGATGAAGAAGGCAGGCCTCCACGGGGCTCACATGTTCACATCCGACATCTCTTAATTCCATAGGATCGTGTAGATGTTATTATCCTCATCTTGCAGATGAGGAAAGTGAAAACCAGGTTTGAATTCAAATACACTAAATCGACTCATGCCACATATCCACTTTTCTTACAGCTGGGAAAGGGAACCCAGTTCAGCCAATCAGCCATGATAGAAGTAGATCTGTGTTCCTACCTTTTTGATTCTCCTGCAGCCTTTTTCCCTTTGTTTTCCTTGGATATCAAAAACTTCGCCTTCCAAGTTTTCAGTTTCTCGCCTTCTCTGGGGAGACAGACATTTTGACCAAGTACATTAACACTGAAGCGCTAAATGTTTATAGCATCACGAACACTTTGTGTGTTTTTACCAAAAATTTTAAAAATCACATATGAGTATATTTCCTAGTTTATAGAAAGGACCAGAAAATAAAGATTCTAGGCTTCGCAGGTCATTTGCCTTCATGACATCACCTTAATTCTGCTGTTGCAGGGTAACAGCAACTATAGATCATATGTAAATAAGTGAATGCGACTGATCTTGTAAAATTTTATTTACAAAAACAAATAGCAGGCTGGATTTGAACCACGCGCCATTGTCTTGGACCCAAATCTAAGGCAAGATATCATCTTGTTTAGAATCACATTTCTTTTCCTTTGTGAACCTTGGCTATTTCACCTCTAACGTAAGAATAATAACGCCATCCTTTGCCCTGAGATAAGGCTGGATGAACTAGTGCTTAGCACCAGAGTATCTGGGCAGAGAAGTACCCAGGGAAACAGGGAGGGGAGAAGGTATTACAGAAAGAAAGGACTAATACATTTTGAGCAACTACATACCAGGCCTTATGCTAGACATTTTACATGCGTTTAACTAATTTTATTTTCACAATGAACATTGCAAGAACCCTTTAAAGCAGTTTTTAAAAATTTCATAAAAGATAAAATGGATGATTAGAGAAGTAGGTCACTGATCAGCACCACAAAAACACTTCGTGGCTTTGAACTCAGGTTCATCTCTCCCAAGTCTATCGTTTTTCACCATATCTGCAACTTCAAAAATATGTCTTCCTGTCCAATGACATCGACCAGTAAGTGCCTCCTTGATAATACGTAGAGCAAACCAGGACCCTCCTCTTCTAACCATTTAGTGTCTGTGGCATGTGCACATCTGTACTTGGTAAATTATAAACACGACCTTCTTATAGCTGAGGAATTTTAAGAAGTCAGAGACACTGCCATCACCCCTCTCTGATTAGGTCATGGGGCCCCAAAGAGTGCTGAGGACTCAGCAGTTGACCCGCTTTAAAGAAAGACCCCACTTAGCGCAGAAGCCTTCTCGGGCTTGACTACTTAGCCTTCTTTTCTCAACTTCCATTGCCTTTGGCAGGAGCCCTGGCGGCACAGTGGTTAAGAGTTGGGCTATGGTCATCAGCAGTTCGAAACCACCAGCTTCTCCTTGGGTGAAAGAGGGTTTTTTCCTCCGGTTAATAGTTGTAGGGGCAGAAACTCACTGGGGCAGTTCTACCCTGCCCTATAGGGTCGCTATGGGTTGGCATCAACTTGATGACAGTGGGTTTTTTTTTCCTTTTGCTGTTATCTTTGGTAGGGTGCACTTGGCTGCTGAATGAAAAGTCAGCAGTGTGAACCCACCAGTCACTCCATGGGACAAGGAAGCGGCAGTCTGTTTCTGTAAAGGTTGACAGCCTTGGACACCCGATGCGGCAATTCTGTGCTGTCTTATAGATTTGCTACAAATAAAAATGGAATCATTGGTACACGACAACAGCAGCAACATTGTCTCTGGAGTATTATAACAAACTCCTCAGTAACCACTCCTTTTCTAATTAAAGAAAAATCATTTTATTGGGGGCTCATACAACTCATCACAATCCATACATCCATCCTTTGTGTCAAGCACATTTGTACATATGTTGCATTTTCATTTTCAAAACATTTTCTTTCTCCTTGGGCCCTTGGTATCAGCTCATTTCCTCCCTCCCCCACTCTCCCTCCCTCATGAACCCTTGATAATTTATTAAAAAAAATTTTTTTCATGCCTTACACTGACCAATGTCTCCCTTCATCCACTTTTCTGTTGTCCATTCCCCTAGGAGGGTTTATATGTAGATCATTGTGATCAGATCCCCCTCTCTTCCCCTACCTTCCCTTTCCACTTCCCCTCTTGGTATCGCTACTCTCATGATTGGTCCTGAGGGGTTTATCTGTCTTGGGTTCCCTGTGTTTCCAGTTCTTATCTGTACCTGTGAACATTCTCTTGTCTAGCCGGATTTATAAGGTAGAATTGGGGTCATGAAAGTGGGGTGGTGGGGGATGGGGAGCATTAAAGAACTAAAGGAAAGTTGTGTGTTTCATCAGTCCTATAGTGCACCCTGATTGGCTCCTCTGGATTGGTTATCCTGCCTATCTTATCTAGATAGACATGCAGAGACAATAATAAGCACAAAAACAAGGCAGAGCAAAACAAAACAATGAAAGAAAACAAAACAACAACAAAACCGATAAAAAAAGAAAAATCTATAAATAGTTCCAGGTCCATTGGTTGACTTTTAGGAGCGTTTTATAGTTGAGTCTGATGGAGTGGCATGCCCTAGCCCCAAAGTCTATTTTTGGTATTCCTTGGGCACATCATTGCTTTGCTCCCCTTGCTGCTCTATTACACGCCCTTAGCGTTTTGCCCCACTGTGGCTGGTTAGATCAGGCACAATTCCTGCACTGTGTCTCCAGTGTTGTCCCCTGTCACGCTATGGGTCAGTGACGGACATCGTGTCTCCTGGTGGGGCCAGCCCTATTGTCCTCTCTGTGCATTGGCTGCTCTGAGCAGGAATATCGTCCTCGGGGCTTGGTGGGCCAGGATGTGTTCCACTCTCTCTCCTTCCCTCTTCTTTTGCTCCTATGTGCTCTGATAAGACGTGCCCCTCTCCCTGAGCTGTAGCTTCAGTGCTGTCCTCTGAAATGAATTCTTCTGGGGGGCGGGGGTGTCCAGGTAGTTGGGATTGGGGCCAGCCCTGCAGCCCTCTCTATTGGCTCCGTTTCATGCCAATATATTGCATTCACCATGTCTTGGCTCACTGGGTTCAGGTCTGGTCCCTCTCTCCCTCTCCTGAGCCACTCCTTTTCTAACTATTGTTTGGTTATGACTTTTATTTTCTTGTCACTGTCTTCTGAGTGGGATTCAGGTATACGAGTACATTCTAAAGGTATACTCCATAGTCTACAGCAAGAACAATTATTGAATAAAACATGTGGGCAGATTTTCTTCTTCTTTTTTGAGACGTAGCTACAGCTGTGAGGGGAGAATGAGAAGGTTTTCTACTCCCAGAGCTAGAGTCTTGGAAACCCACAGGGAAGGTCTATCCTGTTTTTTAGGGTCGCAGTGAGCTGGAATGGACTCAATGGCTATGAGTTTGGTTTTGGGGGGCAGTTGTGAGGGCAGGGAAAAACTGGGACAAATGCCCATTTTAAAAAGTTTATTATCTTTACCTAATATAATATAATAATCTGATTGTTTTTGAAGCTGGAGGAAGTAGAAAGGGAGCACGCACAGAAAAGGGACAGAATGGCATCATCTAACCATCAAAGCCACCGCGTGTCCTTCTAGACACTGGCCCAAGCACTTTACAAACCAAATTCAGGTAATGGGGTACATATGGTTTTATGTTCTGCTGTTTTTCAATCCTCATAGCGCCGGCACTTCTTCATGTCATTGGGAACTATTGCATATTTAAATAGTCATGTTGAGTAGCAGTCTATAATATACTTAGCCTGTTTTTATACATTTAGCCATTTAGGTTTTTAAAACATCTTCCTTTTATAAATAACCCCAAGATAGACATTTCTGTGCATAAAATCTTTTCCTGCAATTTTCTTTTTTTTTTCTTTTCCCATTAGAGATAATGTCTTGAAATGAAATTCTTTGCTTCAGTAAAAGGCATGGGTACATTCTGGGTAAATATTTCCAAATTATACCTTCAGGAATCATGCCCATGTTAGCCATACAGCAATCATTTGCTTCTTTGTCAACTTATTTTTATCCTTCTACGCATCTAGGGAGAGAGCGTAGTGGACATGGCAGGCTCAGACTTGCCGTCAGCAGTTCAGAGACGTTAGGTGACACGTCCCGGGTCCTACTGTCGACCACTTGCAGAAGGAGACACTGGCCGTTTCAGTGCCAGTCCCGTGCCCCTGTCCAGGTGAGTCCCTCTTCCTTTGCCGACTCTGTAGGAGATAGGCTCATCAGTAACAGGGCGCAGAAGGAGAGGTCGGGGTCATCTAGCAACAACTACATCCGGGCTCTTTAGGCTGCCCCTCAGTCCAGTACCTCCCAAGGCAGATCACACCTTTCTTCTTTCTTCTCCTCTCAGCTTCCACGTTCCACCAATGTTCCAATAAGGGGTGTTTCGGAGGCCACACTACAGGACATTCGCTCTCTACATGAAAAAGCGATTGGTTGGTTGGGGGTCACTGCTTATTCCTACAATATTCTTTGAGCCAGCAAACACGGTTTACATGGGAGCTGCTTACACAACGAAGAGGAAGGCATCGTCCCTTCCAGAAGGTTTCACAGTTTGTAATAAAATCCATTTAAGGTCTCTTCGGAAATAACTTTCCTATTTCCGTTCCTACCCGAACATGCATTTTCATAATTTTTACCTGAGATATTATAACGATGTTTAAACATATATAGCCTACTTCTGGGCTTGGACCTGTTAATCAGGAGTAACCAGTCCCTGAAAAGGGATATCCTGCTTGGTAAAGAAGAGGGTCAGCAGACAAAGAGAAAGACCTTCCATGACATGGGTGGACACAGTGGCTGCAACCGTGGGCTCAAATACAGCAGTAGCTGCGAGGATGGCGCAGCACCAGGCGGTGCTTTGTTCTGTTGTACAGAATGGTCGTGGGGAGCTGGAACCGACTCGAGGGTTCTCTCCTGCAAAGTATTCTGGGGAAGGGCCTGACCCGTGGCTCTGGTTTACTTTGCCCTCTTGCTCAGAGTTCTGGAATTTCTCATAGGGTCCAAGAGTATTCCGGAAGGAGCCTATGAAATGACAATATCCTGGATAAAGCAGCTCTTTTGAAAGGTAGTGTTGCAGTGTCCCAGCAGCCCCTATCCAATAGGCAGAGATCCCAGCAATCCAGTGAGCAGCATGCGATTACAAGAGGTGGATTTGTTCTGAGAGAAACGCTAGTGTCAGCACCACAACACTTCTGCAGACGGAAGCTTAGATCCAGGGCAAGATAGGAGTTAAGACAGATGGCCGGACT